GGGAGGGGGGGTGTTTGGTGGGTGTTTGATGGGCCGGGAGGAGGCTTGGGATGGCGGGTGTGGTGCTGGTGGCTGCGCCGGTGGTGGCTCCAAGCGGGCAGGTGCGCACGGAGAGGCGCGGCGGTGCATGCAGCAGCGGGGATGGCGGCGGCGGGTCTGACGCGCCGGTGCGCGTGCGCCGTCGCCAGCCCAGCCACCCGTACAGGCAGCTTCACGCGCACACACACAAGTACATGCGCCCTGCCCCACCTGCCAGGTCCACCAGATGCATCTTGGCGCACAGGTAGCTGTCCTCGCCCTCGCCGCCCCCCTCCTCTCCCTCATCCTCCTCCCCGCTGTCATCCTCCTCGCCCGCCTGGCGCGGCGCCGCTGCCACGGCGCCGCCGCCGCCGTCTGCGCGGGGCGGCAGCAGCTTGCGCTGCTCCAGGGTTATGGTAAAGATGGCATGTGAGCGGGAGGAGTGCTTGTTCATGCCGGTGGCGGCTGCAGGCGGGGGGGGTGTCAGGGCGGCGGGGCCGCACAGGGGTGAGGTCACAGGGAGGAGGCCGCCTGCGCCCTCTACCACCAGCTGGGTAAGCAGCAGCAGCAGCACCACCAGGTGGGGGCACACAGCATGCAAACCAAGCGCAACCAGACACCCAGCAGCACGATCGGGAGAGCGCCAGGGGCGGCAGGGCGGCGGCAGGGCTGCGGCGATACCCCCACCCCCCACCCCCCGCTGCCTCCCGGCCCCGCCCAGCCCAGCGCCGCACCTGTGGCCCTCAGCAGCGTGCCCTGCTCCAGCACCTCCACCATCTCCTGGCGGCTGCGCACCTCGCGCTCCGCCGCCCCTGCCAGGCACACGCCGCCCCCCGCCACCTCCCGGATGTGCACGGCAGGGTGGGGGCCGCGCCCCGCGCACAGCAGATCATGAATCTCCTCCTGGCGGGGAGGAAAGAGGCAGGAGGTGCAGGCGGGGTGGGGTAGGGTGGAGTGGTATGGGCGAGGGGATGCCAGGCGGGTGGGACAGAAAGGGGCTGGCTAGGCCGCCGGCGGATGGGGAGGCGCGGCGGGGATGGCAGGGGGACGGCTGCCGCAGCACGCACGGCGGCCTCGCATGGAGCTGCGGCGATGCACCCTGCAGCGCAGGGCTGCTGGCTGGCCTCCATCCCTGTGCCCACTCCCACCACCCACCCCCGCCACCCCACCCTGCTCACCTTGTGTATCTCCACAAACCCGACGCGCACGGCAAAGTCGACGTCGCCGGGCGCGGCCTGGATGCGGTCAAACACGGCCTGCAGGACACGTGGGATGACGCCGCGCGCCTCGCCGCCGGGCGTGAAGGCGCTGCCCATTGTGTACCTGCAGCAGGGGCGAGGGGGCGGATCCAGACGTGTGGCGGATCGGACTGGCAGAAGCAAATTCCATTCATTTTAAAGACGTCGGCGACGACAGCCAGGCGCCACACCGGGCGTGCGCAGCGGCGAGGGTGCCCGGCATCTTCTGGGCTGCTCCAGCCCCAACCACATCGCCATGCAAGGGCTGCAGCAGGCGGTGGCGTGCGGTGGCGTCCGCAGTGGCCCGGCGCGCACGTCTTGCCGCTGCCGGTCTGGCCGTAGGCAAACACGGTGGCGTTGTAGCCCTTGAACAGCCCCTCCACCAGCGGCGCCACACACTTGCCGTACAGGCTGTGCGCCGCCTCCGCGCCCTCCCCAAACACGTGGTCAAATGTGAACAGCTGGCCGTTGGCGCCGACCTGCGGCGCACCAGCTGAGAGCGCGTGAGGTGGGTGCTGCCTAGCCATGCAGCGTGCATGCAGTACACCCTGGCATCGACGTGGGTGCATGCCGGCCACCGCTCTGCCGCACCTGCGGCTCGCCGGGCGTGATGAAGAGCGTGGGCCTGGCGCCCTCCTCGATCTCATGATCGATCAGCGGCCGCACATTCACCGCCACACACACAGACTCCTGCGGGGCCGCCGCCTGCAGGAAGGGGGGAGGAGAGCGGCCGAGGGCGGGTGGGCGGCGTCGGTGTGGTGGCAGCCAGCAGCAGGCGCACAAGCTCTGGTGTTGGATAGTCCCTACATAGAGGCCTACTGCAGGAACAGGTGCATGGGGTCGTAGGGCAGCGACGGCAGCGGCACTCGCCTCCTGGTCCGGCTGTCGCGCTTCCATGAGCCGCGGCGCCTGAGCGGCGGCCGACAGGGCCTCCGTCACAGTCATGTGTCACACGATCGCTCTGCACAGCCGCCCATTCTCCCCGCCACAGTCTGAATTTTCCAAGCTGTCGGACTGTAGCCCGTCCCGGTGCCGTTCAGCGATCGCACCACATCGCTGGGGTGTGTTTGGAAGCAACGGCGAAGCCCCCCGTTGAACAGCTGCGCTGCGTGCTGTGTCCCGTGGCAGCACAATTCGACTCATCGTGAGCTCTCGTGACTTGATCAATGTCTCGAGATTGCATCATGTCCATCGACGCCGCCCTGGCCTCCTTCCTGGACCTGCTGCTCCTGACTGAGGAGCCCTGCTTCACCTGGGGCCCTGCCGAGCTGCTGGCTGCCTTCCAGTGGGGCAGCACGCTGCAGGGGTTGGTTGACAATGCCAGCGCCGCCACCCCGGTGCAGCTGCGGCTGCAGGTGGGTGGCGCCGCCTTCCCACTCCTGCTGCCGGTGCTGCCTCGCCGGCTTGCTCGGCCTTTCCTTCCATCAACTCCGGCCCCCCTCTTTCCACCTGCAGGCCCTGCAGCCGCAGATGCCGGCAGGGCTGCAGCAGCTGCTGCCGGCCATTGCCCAACAACCGCTGCAAGTGATGCTGGAGCTCCTGCTTCGGCGGCAGCCACCGCTTGCCGCCTATGCCTGCTCCGCTCCCTGGCTGGAGGCGGTGTTGGGTGCATACCTGGCGGCAGTGGTGCTGCCCAGCCCTCCACACCAGCAGGCGGCAGCGGAGCAGCGGTTGACGGCCACGCTTGCCCGGCTGCAGCAGGCAGCGGCAGTGCACGACATCCTGCATGACGCGGCGCAGCAGGCTGCGGCGACAGCTCGCAGCCGGATGCAATTTGGGGGCAAGAGCGGCATCGGTCCATTGGGTGCAGAGGAGGAGGAGCAGCAGCAGCAGCGGCGGCAGCTGCGGGAAGAGGCGCTGTGCTACCTGACCAGCCCAGCGTGCCTGGAGGCCGCGGCAGCAGCGCAACTGCTGGCTCGGCGTGCGCAGCACAACTTGGAGCGGCAGCCAGGCCTGGGAGCGCAGGCGCTGGGCGGCATGCTGCACAGCCCCGCCACCCAGCTGGAGTTGGAGCTGCTGTGCTTGCTGCTGCTGCTGCCGGGGTGGGACGCCATGCTGCGGCGGCTGGCGGGGCTGGATGAGCAGACGCTGGGCCGCAGCAGCAGCAGATGCAGTGGAGATGGCGGCAGCGGCAGCGGCGGCGGCGGCGGCGGCAGTAGCGGCGCCTTGGCCCGCCATGCAGCGCAGCTGCTGTGTGCAGCCTGCAGCAGCCAGGCGCAGGCGGTGCTGCAGCAGCCCCCCGAGCTGCTGGCGGAGGTGTGCAGGCAGTCGTTCCGCTTCACCTGCAGCTACGCGACTCTGCTGGTCGAGCAGCGGCGGCAGGCGGCGGAGGACACGCAGGCGGCGGCAGACGCGGCACGGCACCGCCTGGCGCACGCCACCAAGCACCGGGACCACGTGAGCAACTACTTGCAAGCCAAGTGCTGCTAGTAGCGGCGCCAGCTGCGCCCCTCCACACTCCGTCTGAATCGGGCAATGTAACTCAGCTTGCCACCCATATCTGGTAACCACACTGTGGGGCAGGGGAGATCGGGAAGCATGTCGCCCAGGCTGTGGCTCACATGCGCCACCCCCCCTTTGCTGCCACCTTGCCTCCTGCTGGCTCCATGGCTTTGCCCCGCCCGTCCCGCCCCTGCCGCGCGCTGCCAGCTGCCCCAGCCGCGCGCTGCTTGATGCCCCCTTGCTTGGCGGCCCCTGCCGCTGCGCTGGGCCCCTGCTGCTGCTGCCACGGCTCCACCGCCTGCTGGCGGTGCCGTGCCGGCAGGTGCAGCGGCTCTGCATGGTGCACGCCTAGCGGCTGCGGCGGGCCCCTGGCGCTGGCCGCCGGCGTTCCGAGGCGCGAGGGAATGCGGTGCGCGCCCAGCGGCAGCACATGCGTCGCCACAGCCATCAGATCCCCCTCGCTGGTGCTGGGCGGCAGCGGGAGGGGCGCCACGGCCGCACTCGCCGGGCCGCCTGAGACGGAGGCAGCGCCGGCAGCCGCTCCCTGTCGCTCGGCCAGCAGCCGCTGCACGCGCTCCAGGTCCAGTCGAGCCCTGTCGCGCTCGCTGCGCGCCGCCGCCGCATCCCCGCTCAGCCGGCCCACCGCCTCCAGCTGCTGTGCCACCTGCTGCCGCATGTGCTGCTGCTCCTGCTGCAGCTCCCGCAGCAGGGCCAGCACCTGAGGGTCGCTGCCGGCAACGGGCCCGGGGGCGGCACTGGCTCCAAAAGCAGCGCCGGTGGCAGGCGGAGGCAGGTAGGGGAGCAGCCCGGGCGGTGCATAAGGGTAGAAGGGCACCCCGCCGGCTGCCGCCAGCGCAGGGTTTGCTGCCGCCAGGATGGCAGCCGCCTGGGCAGGCGTGAGCAGGGGCGCCCCCTGCTGCTGATGATGGTGCCAGGCTGTCGGAGGCGGCTGCAGGGCGGGTACGCCAGCCAGCGGCCCCACCGCCTCTGCGTCCTCTGTGCACGAGTGAGTGGCCTGGCGGGCCCTGCGCTCAGCTGCCTTGTCGGGAGGCAGGAACACGGTGATGCCAGGCTGCACCAGCGCCTCGCCTCGCCGCGCCTCGCCCAGCGCCGCCCCAAGCGGCTCCCCGGCGCCTGCCTGCCCTGCCGCCTGCGCCCTGCCTGCCCTGCCCCTGGCGCTCAACGGTGGCGCCGCTGCAGCTGCCACGGCAGCGCCCCCCCGCGTCTGGTTGTGCTGCTGGGCGGCGGCCCCGCTGGCGGCGCCGCCGCGCTGCGGGCTGCCCTTGTCCCCAGCCCCTCGTGCCTGCTGCGCCCAGTAAGCCCGCAGCTGCGCCTCCTCGCGCTCCTCCAGCTCCGCCAGCTGCGCTTTCTTCCTCGCCGCCGCCTCCTTCCTCTCCCTCATCTGCTCCTCCAGGTCCCGCTTCAGCTGCTCCCGCTGCGCCGCCTGCCTCACACGCTGGTCGTCAGACAGGCCCGCCCTTATGTCCTGTAGCGCAGACATGAAGCTGCCGCCCGCCGCCCGCTTGTGGGTGCTGCCCCGCGCCGCCGACTCTGCAGCAGGCAGCGGGGCGGGGAGAGCAGCAGGCATGGTACACCGGGCCTGTGATTGCACCGCAGTTCGGCGCACACCACTCGCCATGCACAGCTCACCTGCATTGAAAATGCCGGCCATGCCTTCCCCGCCCAGCCGTGCCATGTTGCGACGGCTGAAGTCGCTGGCGGGCGGTGCGTCATCCATTGCTTGGCGGTCCAGGGCAGGCAGGGCTTGTTGGTTGTTCTGGCGCAGCTGATGCGGCAGCAGAACAGCCAGCTCTTGCTCCGCCAGCTCCTCCTGCTGCTCATCCCAGCCGCTGCCATTGTTACCGCCCTGCACCGATGCTATTTGAGGCTGGGCAGGCCACCGCTTCCAGGCTGCCTGCTGCTGCTGGGCATCCTCCTGCGGTGGGCCTCCCAGCAGCTCCGCCAGCGTCGACTGCATGTCGCGGCGGGGCAGCCTGCCACGGGGCGCAGGCTCTGCTTCATCTGCTGCCCCATGATCCGGCCGCCATGCATTGCCGCTGCTCCTGGAAGCCTGCTGCTGCTGCTGCTGCTGCTGCTGCTGCTGCTGCTGCACTCGTGCAGCGTGCTGGTGCAGGGCGCTGCCAGCGGGCGCCCCTTGCTGCGGGTGTCGGCCTGTGGGGGCGGAAACTCTGCGCCCAGCGCCAGGACCTCTACCTCGCTGCTGCCCCGGCCCCTCGTCCCTCTTCTTGCCGCTGCCTGATGCTGCAGAGGTGGGCAAAACGTGGAGTTGAACTATGGTGTCGTAGTCAAACATCGTGCCAGTCGTGCCAGCCCCTGGTGCTTACCTCTCTGCCCTATGCTTGCAGCTGGCTCACGGCGCTGCTTGGACCTCGGTGCGGCTGGTGGCTTGCCGAAGGTTGTCATTGTCAGAGACAGTCCCCCTTCCCTTGCTGCTTTGGACTGGACAGGGTGTCGGGACGTCGAAGCCTCACGAATTGGACTCGTGGGCAATTTAAGGGCCAGTTTGGAGATCTGGGAACTATGCCCGGCTGGCGCCACCCGTACCACCCCGTTCTAATATGCTAAACATTCCTAGGGCAGCAGGGCCTTTGAGCAGATCGCACTTGGCAATGGTGCGGGTCTAGGAAAGGCTCCCTGTTGTGTCCAGGGTTTCAGGTGAATGAGCTTGAACTCGCCGGTGAGCCTGCGCGCTTGCGGAGAAAGCATGAAGACATGCGCCATGCAATAATGACATTGGAATGCTCTGCCAGCCGCTGACTGCAGGCGCCGCCCCTACCCCGCCCCCGCCACCCCGCCCTTGCACAGGCCTCCACCACCGGGTGCGCTCTTGTTGACCTTGCGGCGGAGCGGGTTTTGCTAGCACTACCTGCTGCGTTCTTCACCGGCATATCGCCTTCCGGCATGCCAAGGGTGGAAGCGTACGAGAACAATGACGGCCAGGCCCAAGTGGGCGCCGCCAACCTGCTGTCGATGATCGGGCAAGCCAAAGGCGTGACCGGCGGGTGGTCCGGGTTTGCGCTCAAGTCCATCCTCGTGTCCACTTCGGCGGCAACGGTAAGCTGCGCTGGTGGGTGCTGCACTCGGGCTTGTGGGTCCAAGCCTTGCCATTTCACAGCGCTCACTGCCGGCTACCTGTCACCCCCTGCAGGTTTGGGGGCTTGCATCCTGGATGCTGTTCCACGGTGCGTTTAGACAAATGATATGACTAACATCCTGAATTCATCTATGCGGCACCCCAGAGTTGATGAGATCTTGTTTGGCGGTGTGCCTGCAGGACCCTTGGGCCCGGCCCTGTCTTTTCTGGTGGGCGCCGCCATGCAATACGCTCATCCCGACCCGCTCGCCCCTCCCTGTGTGGAGGCAGAAGTGTAGGATCCCCTTGCCCACCACCCCTTGCCCACACCATCCTGGCTCCACTACTCCTGTAGGGCGGCAGCGGGTTTGGTTTCGTGGGAGGTCTGGTCAGCCGCTGGCGCACCGACACGGCCGAGGCGCTGCACCTGGTGGACATGTTCCCGCGGCTGATGGAGGTAGAGGCACCTGCTCCGGGGGTGGTCCCGGGATGTGCCCGCCATTTCACTGTCAGCAGCCGATGGCCAGCGGAAGATTAAAGCTGCTGGCTGTGATGCTGGGGCCCGCTTGCCTGCCGCTTGCCCCGCCCTCGCGCAGCACCATGTGCGGGTGGGGGAGTGCGGGCGGGAGCTGGAGGGGCGCGACTTTGGCGAGTGGGCGCGCAACCTGCGCAGCAGCCCGCGCAAGCAGGGTGAGCGCTGCCGCTCCGGCCAAAGGCGCGCTGCATCCGGGGCCGCCGCTGCCTGCGCACCATCTGTCGTGACATGCACCGCGTTTCCCCTCCCCCTCCCCCTTTCAGGAGTCTTGATCGCCGCCATGTACAGCGCAGCCCCAGCCCTGGACCGCATTCGGCAGGAGAAGGAGGAGGCACTTGTGGCCGCGTATGCTGCGCGGGAGGCTGAGGCGGTGGCCAGCGTGGCAGAGGCCGACGGCCAGCGCTGACGGCAGCCGCAAGCGTCACAGGCAGCGGGCGTGGGCCGCGGGTTCAGGACACACGCAGATTGAACATGAAACAGGGTAAAGTCGCAGTCATGAATAACAAAAGGTGTGATGGATGCTGGGCTGCGGCGAGGAAGAGACAAAAGGACGGTCTGCATGACGTAGTCAATTTTCTGCCGCTGCCTGGAAACAGGTTGGGGCCAGGCGGCGCCAGGGACGCCTACACCGCCATGTGCCGCCGGCTAGCGCTGCTGCTCTGCAGAAGCTGCTTGCGCGGCTGCTCCTGCCCTCCTTCTCCTGCTGCTGCCCCGCTGCCGCCGCTGTCCTGTGCCGCTGCATCCTTTGCCTTGCCCCCCTCCTCCTCCTCCTCCTCCTCTATCACTTCTTGCAGCGTGGCCGGCCCTGCAACAGATCAGGAGGGAAGCAGCGAGGCGACAGTGCCATTAGCTGGGCATGGAGCCTCGCCGCTGGGGGTGCAAAGGGGACAGCGGAGCTGGCAGCCGTACTCATTGCAAGCGCTACTGCGGCGGCGGGCGGGCAAACAAGGTGGCTGGTGCCTCACCAGAGGGCAGCCTGGCGCTGCCGTCGCCGCACAAGCTCTCCTCCTCCACCGCCTGCACCCACTGCTCCTCTGCACACCACAACACAAGGCAGCCATGCGCGGCAGCGGGCTCTGAGCGGCAGCGCCACAGCGGCGCCGTGACATGCAGCGCATGCAGGGCGGCACGGCGGCAGCGAGCGCCGGCGGCAGCCGGCCCTCTCACCTTCCAGCGCCGCCAGCTCCAGGTGCGAGGCCGCCAAGTGCTCCTGCTCGCGCTGCCGCGCCACGTCCTCCGCCGCGAGGTCGCCCACCTCTGTGGCATCGACGCCCTTCACGCCCACGCCATGAGGGTCGGCAGGCTGCAGGCGCGGGCGCGGCAGGGCAGTGCTTCGTGCGGGCGGACTCGGCATCTGCGCGTCATCCCCGACAACAGCAGAAGCTCGGCCTGCCCTGCGAGAGATTCAAGCGCAGCTGGCCCCAGCAGGCCGGCTGCTGGGCAACTGCACATTGCGGCAGCAGGCGCGGCTGCTCACCAGGGCCGCCGGCGCGGTGGCAGGGACAAAGCCGGTGGGCTTGCGCTGCATGCCCACAAACTGCTTGCCCGTGGGATCCTCGGCTTGCGCCAGCCGGATGGCCGACAGCAGGCGCTTGAGGGTCGACGGCGGCCTGCACAGCCACGCCACCAGCGCCGACGGTGTTGCAGGCTGGTGCGGCTGCTGCTCGCTTGTGCATGCCTGCACTGCCTGCCACCCCCCCTGCAGTCAGTCCCATGCCACGCTGGCATGGCCAGCCTCCGCCCCGCTCCCTCCCACTCACTTCCAGGCCTGGTAGAAGCTGCCGCTGTTGTTCCACTGCTCCCCCGACTTCAGCCGCTTCAGCTGCGGCACGCCGCCCTCAGACGGCTTCGGGTCTACAGCGGCGGCAGGGGACAGGTGGCCACAGGTCGTGAGCAGACCGTTGCAGCCTGCACCCCGTGGGGGCGGCCTTCAGCCGGCCCAGGACACAGCTGGCAGGTGCGCAAATCCCCCACAACTCTCTTCCCGCCCCCCGCATCCCGCATCCCGCCCCGTCTGTGCTGCCACTCACACATCTCTGCCTTGGCCCGCTTGTATGCCTTGCGCTCCTGCAGCACAGGTGAGGTACGCGGCCAGCAAGTGTGGGAATGCATCGGGGCTCAGGCCGAGCGTACACACCGACGCCCGGGCGTGCTGAGCGCCCCACCGGCGGGCGCCAAAGCGCGTGCCTTGCTGGCATGGCTGCAGCCTGCCTGTGCGGCCCTGTGCTGCGGCGCAGTGCACCCATCGCTGACATCATCCTGCTGGAAACCTCGCTGCTGGCAGCCGTGCCGCACCTTTTCGTATTGGATCTGCTCTAGCCGCTGCGTGATCATGCACTTGCGGCAGATCACCTCCTCCCCGCTGCGCACCCACGACGCCCGCTGCACGGCACGTGCGCAAATGCTGGTGTGAGGTATCGGGCAATGCCAGGTTGCCAGGCTGCTCTTCAGCACAGCATCGCTGCGAGAGAGGTGGGGGGGCACTCGGCGGCACAGGCAGGGCAGGGCTGCGGTGCCCCGGGGCCCCACCTGCGTTCCATTCATCTTGCCCCATGCGCTAGAGCCCTCCGTGCCGCACACGTGGCAGCGTGGCGGTTCCTGCGCAGTGCCACAGAGTGGCCACAATATAGGTGAGAGAACAAGGGAGGGCTAGCAGGGGTGGGGTGGGAACCGCCTTGTCCGGCAGCGCAAGCGGGTCGGCGGCAGCAGGTGGCCTGCAGTCCCGCACCGAGCCATCGACCACGCTGATGCACTGTCCCATCTCCTGGACAGCCACCACCCGTGGGAGCCTGGGGTGCAAGAAGAAGAGACGGAGGGTTGAGGGCCTGCCGAACGAGGAGCTGCAGCTGCTCTGTTCAGACCAGTTGTACAGCCGGAAGCGGACGAAGCCTGGTGGAGAAGCGGTCGGCGGCAGGAGCAAGGGTGGAGCGGCGTTTTGCAGTGAGGCCACCCTGCAAGCTGTTTGTTAAATAACAGCCTTTTGGCTGTCTCTACATGTCTCTACATGTCTCGACGAGCCTTGGATGCCTGGATGCCCGTGCTTCGTGCTGGGCGGCACCACCTTGCTGCGACCTCGCAGGGGAAGAGCACAGGGCGTTCTTTGATTGGCATTCGGCTAATGGCCCTGGTCGATGCTGCGTGAATATCGCGGGTGGATCGCGGGGGAGTGTCAGGAGAGTCGGTGATCAGTCCTGGGCCACAATGCCTCGCGTGGACACCTCCCTGCCTGCCCTGGCAGCAGGCGGCAGCAGAATACCCAGGACAGGTGAGCCCTCCGGCTGCCCAAGGTGCCGGCCACCGTTCAGCGGCTGCCGCCACTGTCGCCGTCGCTTCCGCCGCCATTCCTTGCACCCGTGCACCCTGCAGTTGAGGCCTACCTTACAACGAACCTGGAGACCCTGACCGAGGTCGACGGCGGGCTGCTGCCACACGAGCAAGAGGTGTGTGTGTGTCGAGGGGGGGCAACTTGGTTGGAACACTTCGTGTTTCCAGCGCGGGTCGGCCATGCAAGCTGGCCCCACCGTGGCTCCCTGGCTCCCTGCAGGCGCTGCAGGCGCTGCATGGCGAGGTGCTGCGCAGGCACGCGCCGCCCGTGGCGAGCGGGACGCAGCTGTACGCAGAGCTGGAGGCCTGCCGCCTGCTGGAAACGGCGAGTTGCCACCGGCGCCCTTGCCATGCATGGTGCCATGGTTTGCACCGTACACGGCCTGGCCTGGCACAGCCTGCACCGCCTGGCCGGAGCACCCTCCAGGCCGCCTCCTTTAGCGGGCACCCCGCCCCCTGCTGCTTCTGGCTGCAGGGCTGCAGCAGCATCGATACCGAGCTGCTGCGGGGCGGCATGCGGGGCGGCCAAATGGTGGAAGTCTGCGGGGAGTCGGGTGGGCGGCACGAGGAGCAGCCGGGGAGGCAGACGATGTGCCAGCTGCTGGTTGGGAGGGGCACGCTGGCGTCACGCCGCCGCCGCCTTTGCACACATGCAGCTGCCAGCACGGTGCCGCAGCCCTGAGCCCTGCCCTGCCCGTGCGTGCCTCCCTGTGCCCGCTGCGCGCCGCAGCCTCAGGCAAGACACAGCTGTGCCTGGCGGCGGCGGCCCAGGCGGCGCGCTCCAGCCAGCGTGTGGTGTATGTGGACACCAGCAACGCGCTGTCGGGGCGCCGCCTGGCACAGGTGGTGGCCGCGCAGCACCAGGCGGCAGCCGAGCAGGCAGGGGGTGCAGGGGCCGCCGCGCCGCAGGTCGGTGGCACGCCCCCGCCCCGCTGCATCTGCGCTGCGCTGCACTGCGGCCGGCCACAGCCGCCAAGCCCTCATTGCATTTGCTGGGGTGGCTCTGTGGGAGCGGTGGCTCAGCCAAAGGCTGGCCCGTCCACCCCGCTGCTGGCTGCCTGCTGCTGGCTGGCTGTGCCTGCAGGCAGCAGCGGGCCCCCTAAAATTTGTCGAGGTGCGGCGCTGCTACAATGTGCACTCGCTGCTGCGGGTTCTTGATGAGCTCATGCTGCAGGCTGAGCAGCAGGCGCAGGCGCAGCGGCAGCCCGGACCTCAGCAGCAGCCGGGAGCGGCGCAGCAGCAGCCGGGAGCGGCGCAGCAGCCGGGAGCGCTGCAGCAGGCGCCCAGCTCGGTGCCGTCGGCGGTGGCGCGGCGGCGGCGCCTGGAGGAGCTGCCTGTGGGCCTGCTGGTCGTGGACTGCCTGTCCGCCCTGATCACCCCGATCCTGGGTGGCGGGCAGCACAGCCAGGGCCATGCACTGCTGGCGGCCACCGCCGCCAGCCTCAAAGCCTTTGCGGCGCGGTCCGGGGCAGGTAGGGCCAGGCGGTGCACGCAGCTGGCCGCCCTGCACGGTGCAGCGTGGATGGCTGGCCTAGTAGGTTGCCGCAGGCGTGTAGCTGGCGGCACGTGCCTCCTGATCTCCCCCTCGCCGCCTGCCCTGCAGCCGTGCTGGTGACGGCACACATGGTGGGCGGCAGCGACGAGCGGCGCCACGAGAAGCGGCCGGCCATGGGGGAGAGCTGGCGCAACCAGCCGCACGTCCGGTGCGGCGCCGGGCCCGTGCGCGCACGCTGGCTGGCAGCAGCAGCCTCACCAGCAGACGAGGGCTATCTCGCTGGCCAGTCATCCTTGGAGGCAGCTGTACTGTTTGTGGGCTCATCAAGCACGCCTCCACCTCCTCCTGCCTGCCTGGCTGTGCAGGATACAGCTGAGCAGGCCGGCGGAGGACCGCACCTCGGGGCAGTGCAGCGCCACGCTCACCGCCAGCCCCCAGCTGCCTGCGGGGCTGTCGGTGGCGTACTGGCTGGGTGAGGGCGGCCCCACAGGCACGCCCCCGCAAGCAGGCGGGCAGCAGGCGCAGCCGATGCAGCACTGAGTGTAAGCCGCCACATGCGATCGATCATTCCTTACAGCTTACAGCGGTGGGGTTCAGTCGTTGTTGTGAGGAAAAAATCAGGCCGGCACGCGGAAAGCGCGAGCCAGCCGAAAACCATGGCAAACAGGGGAGAGCTGGTGGTACACAGGGCCGGGCCATCAGCCATGCCAGGGTGGCTGCGCGGCGTTAGGCACGAAAGGGAAGAGGAAAGGAGAGCAGACAGGGGCTCCTAAGGGGCCTACTCTTCGTGTCTTCGCAGAGAGGAAGGGCGGCGCGCAGAGGTGGGAAGAGGCACACAGGGGGCGCAAGGAGGCCGGGGGGCACACACACGCACTGCCTGATGGGTTGGAACTGCTGAATGGGGGCAACGAAATGCTGAGGAAAACGATATGGGGTGCAGACAGGATGATGAGGCAGAATCGTTTACGTCGGGACGGACACACAGCAACTGTGTTGCGGACACCACACTAGACAGAATGGGGAGGGAGGGCCGCTGTTTCAAGCGGGCGGCGCCGGCGAGGGCGGCCCCGGCGGAGGCCCCCGCACCGCGGCAGGCAGCCTCTGCAGAGCCACCTCCCTGAGCGCGGCGCGGCGGCTGGCGTTCAGGCGCCGCACCCGCTTGCTCATCCTCTGCGCCTGCGCCGGCTTGCCCTGCGGCCAGGTCGGGCGGGGCAGGCACAAGCGGTAAGCCAGCTGCCGGATGCGGCCAGGGCCGGCTGAGGCGTGCAGCAGCAGGCACGCGGCAGCAGCCTCCGCCACCGGCCTGCCGCCCCCACTCCCACCGCCGCCCAGCCGCGCCACCACCCCAGCCAGCTGCAGGCAGGGCCCCCCACCTGCGCCTCCAGCAGCGCCGCCATCTCGGCCACAGACGGCGCGTGGTGCGGGTCGGCCGCCAGTGCCTCCTGCAGCAGCTGGTGCGCCGCCTGCATCTGGCCGGCGCGGCGCTCGAGGCGGCCCAGCGCGCTCAGCGCGGGCACCGACCCCGGGCGCAGGCGCAGCACGGTGCGGTACAGCTGCCGCGCGGCTCCCACGTCGCCCGCCTCCTCCTCCAGCCGCGCCCATGCGTGCCAGGCGGCCCGGCACTCGGGGTCGGCGTCGGTGCAGCGGCGCAGCAGGCGGCGCGCCTCCCCCGCATCGCCGTGCCGCGCCTCGGCCACCCCCCACGCCTGCAGCACGTGCGTGTTGGACGGCTCCTGGCGCAGCGCCTGCTGGAACAGCGGCCGCGCGCGGGACAGGTGGCCTGCAGGGAGGAAAGCATGGGAAGCGGGGAGGGGCAGGGAAGCGGGCGGGGTGAGGCGAGTCGCGGGGCGACGCCGCTGTGTGCCCGGGCGGCAACTGCGGCAGCAGAAGCTGGGCGGGCAGGCACGGCACGCGGCCGCCCACGCACGCACCTAGTGAGGCCTCCAGGCGGCCCCAGGACTGCAGCGCCGTGACGAAGCCGGGGCGCGCCGCCAGGGCGCGGCCGTACAGGCGGCGCGCCAGGCCCGCGCGCCCCGCCGCCGCCTCGATGCTGCCCAGCAGGCACAGCGCGTGGGCGTTACCCGGCTCCACCTCTAGAGCCTCTCCGCACAGCCGCTGCGCCTGCGCCGCCTCGCCGCCCCGCCACTCCTTGTGGGCCCAGGTGAAGAGCAGGCGCGCGGCGGCGGCGGCGCCCGCGGCGGGCACCGGGTGCCGCTTGGCGGCCGCCACGCCGCCGCGGAACAGCGCGCGGGCGGAGCCGGCATGCCCCAAGGACAGCTCCAGCTGGGCCCAGCTGCCCAGGGCGCGGCACAGGCCCTCTGAACGCTCCGCCTCAGCACGCAGCGCGCCGCCCGCGCCCGCCGCCGTCACGCCGCCAAAGCAGGCGGCGGCGGCGGCGTAGAAGGCGCGCGCGACGCCGTAGCTGCCGCCGCGGCCGCCGTGCCGCGCGCGCTGCCGCTCCAGGTTGGCCAGCTGCGCCCACAGGCCTGCAGGCACACGGGAGGGGGTGGGTGGTGGTGGGGTTGTATGTGTCAAGAAGCAGGCGGATGGGAGGCAGCGACGGGGCCCCGGCCAACCAGTATGCCGGGCCCCGCCGCTGGCGCGGCGGCCCAGGCAGCAGCCCAGACGGCGCGGCACGGCTGGCACGCCGGGCCACGGCAGGCATAGCAGCGGGCGGCCGCGCGCACCTCCCTCCCACGGCTGCTGCATGGCTCCCGCCAGCAGCAGCGCGTGCGCCGCCTCGTGGCTGCCGCCCGCCATCAGCCGCCGCGCGCGGTCGGGCAGGTCGGCATACACGGCGCCGCCTGGAGGGAAGCTGCCCTGCGCGGCCGCTGCCGCCTCCAGCGCGCCCGCCAGCCGCAGCGCCGCCACGACCGCGGGCAGCGTGGCCGCCGCGCGGTGCGCGCCGGCCAGCCCGCCCAGGCTGCCGATGCCGGCGCCGCCGCCGCCGCCGGCCTGCACCGCCACGGCCGCCGCGCTGGCGGCCGCGCCGTTGCTGGCGGCGACATCGGGCGAGGGAGGCGCGGGCGCCAGCACCTGCACCTCAAACGAGATGCCTCCTTCTGCCAGGCACACCACGTCCCCCGGGTGCAGCGTCACCTCCCTGTGCGCTTGGATGGGGGCCCTGCAGCCGCAACCAGGCAAGGGGGAGGCAGCGGGGCAGGTTGGCGGCGCGTCGGATGGTGGGGAGGGCAGGCCGCGGGTTGGGGCGGGGTGGCAGCCGTGGGACAGAGCTCAGGGCAGGCGGCCCCGCCTCGGGCACAGCCATCCAGCCGGGTAGGCAGCCGGGCAGCCGGGCAGCCAGCCGTCCAGCCAGCCAGCCAGCCAGCCAGGTGGCCGCCCAGCCAGCCAGCCTAGCACTCCAAGCGTGCTGCATACTACACACTACACCCACCTGTTGATGCGCGTGCCGTTGGTGGAGCCCAGGTCTGTAAGGAGCAGCTTGGAGTGGCCGCCGCGCGCGTCCGGGCGGCGCACCACCTCCAGCCGCACATGCCGCCCCGACACGGTCGGCACATCCACCACATAGTCGCAGTCGCTGCGGGGAGGGGCAGGGCAGGGCAGGGGGCAGAGTTGGGAGAGGGCGAGGCGTGGCGTGTGTGTGGCGTGGTGCGGTGTGGTGTGGTGCGGTGTGGTGTGGTGTGGTGTGGCATGGTGTGGTGTGGCATGGTGGCCGAGCAGGGCGGGGTGCACGGCATTGCCGGCCGCAGCACAGGCTCGCAGCGGCGGCAGGCAGGCGTGGTGACTCCCCCGTGCCGCCGCGCCTCACCGGTCAAACACGGCGCCCACGACGCAGGGTCCCAGGTCGGGGATGCGCAGCGCCTGGCGGCGGCCGCAGGCGGTGGCGGGCACCACGCCGCCCGCGGCGTTGAGCACGGCGTGCGGCAGCGAGGGCGAGGCCACCAGCTGCCAGGTGGCGTCCGCGGGCGGCGGCCCCGCCTGGCCCACCAGCCGCATGATGCCCTGTACCACACGAGACTTGCCCCAGCCGCCCGCGCCGGCAGCAGCGCCGGTGGTGGCGGCGCCGTCGGTCTCGCCGCCCGTGCCGGCCGCCGGGCCCGCCCACCGGTCTGGCTTGCGCAGCAGCTCGCCCTGCGCTGCCGGCGCGGCCGCTGCCGCTGCTGCTGGCGCCTGCGGCGCGGGTGGCGCCTCGCGCGCGGGGCTCGCCGCGCGTGCGGGGCTCGCCTCGCGCGTGGGAGGGCCGGCCCGCGCGCTGCGCCTGCCTGCGCGCTCGCCCGCGCCGCTGCCGGGCCCATCCTGCAGCGCCACCAAGTTGTTGTAGGAGCCTCTGCCGACCCAGCTGCGGCCGCCGCTGCCGCCGCCGACACCGCCGCGCTCCTCATCCACGCTGCTGTCGCTGCTGCTGCGGGCGCTGCTGGTTTCGAGGAAGGCGCGGGCGGCCAGGTGGGCGCCACGCGGGCGGCCCCGAGGCCGGCTGCCGCCCAGCTGCCCCCCGCCCTGCGGCTGCCAGCCCAGCGCGCCGCCGCTGCCGCGCGCGCGGCATGTGCCCGCCGCCAGCCTGCGGCCGCTGCCGCCGGCGCCGCCGCTGCCGCCCCAGGGGCTGCCGGCGACGCCCATGCTGCTCAGCCCGCCGTCGAAGCTGCTCAGGCCGCCATCCGGGCCTGCTCCCGCCTGCTGCTCGTGCTGCTGCTCCTGCTGCTGCTGCTGCTGCTGCTCCAGCACATGTACCTGCTCGTGGTCCACCGCCGACAGGGCCTGCAGCAGCCCCACCTGCACACAGGCAGCACAGAACGCCAGGGGTGCCGGGATGAGCGCATGGCCGCAAGGACCGCCCTGCCAGCTTGCGCAGCTCCCTGATTAAGCGCTCCCCTGGGAGAGTGCGCCGTGCCGTGCTTTGGCTCACCCTGCGCTGAAAGGCCATGAAGGCCTCGAAGCCGATGGTTCCATCGCCGGCCTCGCCGCCGTCGGCGGCCGCCAGCTGCAGCAGCTCGGCCGCGGCGCGGCTCTGCGCCTGCGCCTCGCGAACCCCCAGCTCCTGCAGCGCAAACTGGAGCTCCTCCAAGCTGCGGGGGCATGGAGCCGGGGCACAGAGCAGGGCAGGGCAGGCAGGGTTAAGAGTCGGGGCAGGTGAGCGAGGGCCGCTGCTGGTCGCTGCCAGCCCAGCATCCAGGCGCCCTCGTCTCAATGCCACCTCAATGCCACACAACACGGCAACAGGTGTCCCTCCCCAGCGACTCCCACTGCGCACCCCCTCCCACCTGATGCGGCCGTCGCTGTTCTGGTCCAGGTGCCGGAAGAGCCCCTCCGCCGCCGCATCGCTGCCGCTCACCGCCGTGCCGCCGCCGCCGCCGCCGCCGCCGGCCTCCACCTCGACGGCGTGCGAGGCGGCCGCCGCCGCCGCCGCCGTGCGGCGCAGCACCGCGTCGGTCACAGACTTGAGCTGCAGCGCCTGGGTGGCGTCCAGGCCGCCCTTGTACGCCGCATGCGCCGCCACCCCGCGCTCCGCCCGGTCGTGCATGACTGAAGGGGGGCGAGACAACAACAGAGATGGGGCAGGCCAGGCAGCAGGGGGTCGGGCAGCAGGTCAATGACAGGCAACATAGCCAGCCGGGTGCGCGTGCCAGCGTCAGGCGCTGGCCTGCCGTGCCGCGTTCCTGCACCTGCACCATGCGCCGCCCAGCCCAGCCCAGGCCTGGCCAGGCAGCCCCCCCCACTCACGCTGCGTGCGAATCTGGAGCTCCAGCGTCGCGTGGCCGCTGATGGCGCCCTCGCCGCCGCCGCCGCCACCCAGGCTGACAGTCTCAGAGGCCACTCTGCGACATCAGAACGCGGTGGGGTGCTCAGCCAGGCGCTCCTGGCGCATACACGCACACACACAGCGCCGCGACCACGCGACGACAGACAGCGCCCGCGTCGGCTGCTGCGCCTCCCCCAGCCCAGCCCAGCCCCCACCTGACTGTGCTGTGCAGGCTCTGGTAGCCGTTTGACTTGGGCGCCGCAATGTAGTCCTTGCACCGCCCCGCCACGGGCTGCCACAGCTCAAACGCCGCGTCGCGCACGAGGTAGCAGGCCTGCGCCGCCAGCGCCTCGGCCTCCTCCTGCGCCCGATAGACACAACACACATGAGGGGCCCGGCCACGGCGGCTGCTGCAGGAGCAGAGCAGGTGACGGCACACTGCCCTGACCGCCGCCCCGCCAGCCCCGCCAGCCCCCACCACCACCCGGCAAGCACCCACCGGCGGCAGGTCTGCGCGCGGCTGCACCACCACCCGCAGGCCCATCAAGTCGTAGAGCTGCGCCCGCGCCCGGCCCCCGGCCGCCGTGTTGCCCAGCCGCAGCAGCTTCTTGAGCGTGGAGAAGAGGCTCTTGGTGCGTCCCGCCACCACCAGGCCCCCCGCCAGCTCGCCAAAGCGCGGCTGCGCGGCCACCGCCGCCTCCAGCGCCGCCTGGCACCGCGCCAGCACCTCGGCGTTGGCGGCGGCCTGCTCGCGCAGCCACGCCGCGGTGCGCAGGTAGCTCTCAGGGAACAGGATCTGCGGGGGGAGGCGGGAGGAGGCGGCAGCCGTGGAGGCGGCGGCATTGCATGCAGGTAGGAGCGGCTGGGCGGGGTAGCCTGGCACAGGCACAGGCGCCCGTCCAAGCACCTCCAGCGGGAGGAAGCCCGCCGGGCAGCCAAGCGCGTCGCTTCTGGCGCAGCTGGGCCCCAGCCACGCCACACGCCGCACACACCCACACCCTGCCCACTACACACACCACCACCACCACCGCCAGCCCAGGCACCCACCTGGAAGCAGCGGTCCTCCAGCTGGGCTGCCACCGCGGTGAGGCCCAGCGCGTGGCCCATGGGCGCATACATCTGCAGCGCCTCCAGCGCGCACACCTGCTGCTGGTAGCTGGGCAGGCCGTCGGAGGCGGCCAGCGCGTCCAGGCGCGCCACCACCTCCACGGCCGTGGCTCGAACGTCGTAGAACGACAGGCACAGCTCACGCAGCGCGCTGCGGGCAGGGGTGGGTGGGAGGAGGCGGGGCGGGCGGGGCACGTTCGAGCGGGGCTTGCATGCGCGAGCGGGCGGGCGCGCCCCCACGCGGGTCTCTTCCGACCAGGCCAGGTCAGGGCCCCGCCCTGCTGGCGCCAGGCCCAGGCCGCATCCGGGCTGCACGCGCGCTCGCTGCGCGCCAGCACGCAGCGGGCGCGGCAGCGCACCTGGCGGCTGTGTCGTCGAGCAGCTCCACGCGCGCGGGCAGCTGCCGGGCGCGCTGGATGTCGTGCACCAGCTGCGCGACAATGGGCCCCACCCGCCCCTCCACAACCTGCAGCGTCAGGCCGCCGCTGCCTGCCGCCGCTGCCGCCGCTGCCGTGGATGCCCCGCCGACCGCGTGCGGCTGCCAGTGCGCCGCGCTCCCCAGCACTTCCGCCAGGATGCCGGCGGCGATGCCCTCTGCGTCGATTGGCAGCCCCGCTGCCGCCAGGTCAGCCAGGCGCGAGGCCAGAGACAGGGCGCGAGCCACGGGGCGTGACAGCGCCGCCTGCTGGCCCCTGCTGCTGCTGGAGGAGGCTGCCGGCGGCGAGTATGCTAGTGCGAGCTTGAGCGCGGTGAGGATGAGCTCGGCCGACCGCCCCTCGCTGGCTTGTGGCGGCAGCCGCGCCGACAGCTGATCCCAGGCCGCCATCAGCTGCAGCAGGCTGGCGCCGCCCTGCTCCTGCACCGGCAGCAGCGAGCCGGGTGGGCTGCCCGCCGCTGCCACGGCGAGCGCCGTGCCCGCCGACGCTGCCGTCGGGAGCTCAGAGCTGCGTGGCAGCAGCGCAGAGCCGCTGCTAGATGGCACAGGCTGATCCAAAGATCCCTGTGGGGTGGATAGGAGGCGGGTTAGGGATGGGCACCAACCCTACAACACGAATACCACGCGCCGCGCGGGCGGCGGCGGCGCGCACGCGGGCCCAACCCAGCGCGCGCCTTGCACCCTGCAGCCAGTCGGGTCGCGCAGCCGGCCAGGCAGATGACTCACAAGCTGATCGGAGGGCTGCAGGTAGGCCAGGGGCCGCCAGGAGCCACGCTTGGGAGGTCGGAGGTGTTCCACGGGCGGGCGCCCGCTGGTGCTGGTGCCGTCGTCCCGCACGGAAGCTGCAGGCCTCAACACCAAGCTAGCTGCTGGCACGTGCACCCGCCCCGCAGGCCGGGCACAGGCCGGGTGTGAGACCTGGCCTGCCACCATCCTTTGTGCCGCCAAACAGGTGGACGCAGCAGAATTATGTCTGTCTTCTGGTTCTGCAGGCGAACGGATGAGTGTGGATGGCGGCCGTACGCATGGGCCAGGGAAGTACATGTGTCAGGCTCTGGGCTTAAAGCCTGCCAGTCGATCAGAGAACCCGCACATCGCAGCACCTTGCTCCAGCCCCGACAGCAGACCATCACCAGTCTATTCCACACAGCCGCTGATCGAGCGCCTTGGTGGGGGCTTGCCGGGCAGCAGCATGGGCGAGCCGTTGGAGGAGCAGGACTACAAGGTGGTGCTAGCGCAAAAGGTCAGTGGTCAGGCTCAAGCGATCGGGCGGTGCCTGCCTCTGACGGGGCGCCCTGCCAACCCCTGCCTCGACCCCTGCTCTGCAGAGATTCCTCTTCCGCACCCAGGATGTGCCGGTGGCTGACCGCAGCAAGCTGCAGCACGACATCGTGGGCTTGCTGCAGGCGCACGGTGTGCCGCCGCCCGCCCGCGCCTGCCTGCTCCCTTCCCTCCCACGCTGGCTTCCTCTCGCCCACAACTGCCGCTGACCCCAGCTCTCTGTCGCCTCGCCACCTGGCGCAGACATGGCGCCGCTATACGAGGAGGTGTGCGGTGAGCTGGGCGTGAGCGGCAACGCAGCGGCGCTGGGCGAGATGCGGGAGCGCAACGCCAAGCAGCTGGCGGAGCTGGACGAGAAGATCAAGGACGCGGGTGGGTCGGCGGCAGGCGCTCGTGGCGTGCCAGCTGCCTGCGGGCATAGGGGCATAGGCAGAGCGGTGGTTAGCCTTCCACCAACACGGTCGGTGGCTGGGCATCCCCCATGTGCCGCCCTCCTGTGCCATCCCCACCCCACACGCACGCACCCGCTTGGCGCAGAGGTCAACGCGGGCGAGATGGAGGTGCGGGACGCGCTGCAGGCTCGAGCCGACTACCTGTGCGGCATCGGCGACCACGCGGCCGCGCTGGAGGCGTTTGCGGCGGCGGAGGCCAAGACGGCGGGGGTGGGCCCCAAGATGGACCTTGCCTTCTCCCAGATCCGGCTGGAGCTGAGCCGCGGAGACTGGGGCGCGGTCAAGGCGGGGTTGGACAAGGCGCGCGGGCTGTGCGACAAGGGCGGCGACTGGGAGCGCAAGAACAAGCTCAAGGTGGGGCGGGCAGGCGGTGCACACGGGGCCCGGGCAGGCCCGGGGGACCGGGGGACCGGGCAGCGGAGTGTTTGGGGCGTCGGACGGCTGGCGCTGCGCGGCGCGACCTGGCCTCAGTGCCGCAACCCCTGCGCCCAGCCCCAATCCATCCCATGCGGGCTGCGGCCCTGCCTCCGTGCGGCTGCCAGGTGTACGAGGCCGTGTTCCTGATGGCCACCCGCCAGTTCAAGCGCGCCGCCGAGCTGCTGCTGGATGCCATCGCCACCTTCTCCAGGTGGGCCTGCTGCTGCATGTGTGGTGAAGGGTGGCCCCGGAGGGCTGCAAGGCTGTGGGGCGGTGCTTCTTGCGGTGCTTCTTAAGAGCCGGAGCTGCTCACCAGGCTGCCCCGCCATGCCCTCCTGCCCCTCCCTCCTCCCCCTCAGCGGCGAGCTGATGTCGTATGAGCGCTGCATCTTCTACACCGTGCTGCTGGCGGTGGTGGCGCTGGACCGGCCCACGCTGAAGAGCAAGGTGGGTGGGGCGGGGGCGGCACAGGGGGCAGCTGCACAACGCGACGCATGATGACACGCACACACACACACACACACACACACACCTCCCCCTGCTCGCCCCGCAGGTCATCGACTCGCCAGAGGTGCTGTCTGTCATCGACTCGCTGCCCCACCTGCGCCCCTTCCTCTCCTCCCTCTACGACTGCCAGTACGCCCAGTTCTTCAAGGTGAGCCGCGCCCCGGGGGCTGGAAGGCGCGCCCACAGCACGCTCCGCGCCGGCTGGTGCAGCCCCTCCCCACACCTCGCGCAACAATCCACACACGTGGCGTCCCCGAGCCCCGCCGCGCCTGCCATGGTGCCGCGCCGCCGCTGCTGCCGCTGCAGGCGTTTTCGGGCCTCAGCGACGAGATCCGCGCCGACATGTACCTGCACCCCCACTTCCGCTACTACATGCGCGAGGTGCGGGCGGCGGCGTACGCGCAGGTGAGCGCCCCCGTCCCTCAACCGGCTGCTAGCTGGCTGGCTGGCTGGATGGATGGATGGGTCACAGGGAGGCCGCTGCCTTCCTGCCTTGCCAGCACGCCAGCGCTAAGCGGCCACACCTCCACCGCTCGATGGCACCCCTGCCCTCGCCCCGCGGCCCGCCTGCCTGCCACACATCTCTGCCTTTGCCGCCCCGCCGTGCCCGCCACCCTCCCCCTGCCCCTCCCCTCCCCGGGCCCTTCAACAGTTCTTGGAGTCGTACAAGAGCGTGACGCTGGCCTCCATGGCCGCCACATTCGGCGTGTCTCCCGACTTCCTGGATGCGGAGCTGGTGAGGGCGAGCTGCGCGGGCTGGCTGGCTGGCTGGCTGGCTGGCTGGCTGGCTGGGGCTGGCTAGTGCTGCCAGCGGACGCAGTCGCTTGCAGGGTGCTGCGCATGCAGCAGGCCGTCCTAGTGGCCGGCAGCTGGCGTGGGGTGGAAGGGGCTGGGCAGCTGCGAGCCCCCAGGCACTGCATGCCTGTGCCTGTTCACTGCCCTCCCCCTGTACCTCCCCCTGCACCTCCTCGGCCCCTGCAGGCCGACTTCATCGTGGCTGGGCGGCTGCCCGCCAAGGTGGACAAGGTGGCGGGCGTGGTGGAGACCAACCGCGCCGATGCCAAGACGGCGCTGTACCAGCAGACCATCAAGCAGGGCGACCTGCTGCTCAACCGGCTGCAGAAGCTCAGCAAGGTGATCGACATCGAGTGACGGCGGCCGAGGCGAGGCAGGGGCGGCCGACGGTGGTGCCAGCTGCCGGCGGACGCCGTGTGGGCGATAGCACACCGTGGCTCTGCCTCTGTTCTGTTCTGGTTGCACACGCCCCTGTGAAACATTCAACCTGCTAAAGTGACCGATGAGGGGGTGGCTGGAGCTTGAACAGCAAGTTTGGGACCGCAGAACTGCACGGGTCGATGGCAGCCGTCGCCGGCCGTGCTGGGCATGCTGCCATCCTTACCCTCTCATTGATTGCATAGATGCGCAGTCGTTCCCCGGGGCCGCCATTGATCAGCAGGGGCGCCACAGTGCTCCCTGCAGTCGCCCCATTGCGTGTGCAAGGAGGCCCTGACATCAATAGCGCCGACTGCACGCATTGCGCCCGCTCCGCGCTCACACTAGCTCAATTGATCATGCATGCTGCTAAGCTGCTCATGCTGGTCGCCCTGGTGGCTGCCTGCCTGCTGGGCCCAGCCAGAGGTGGGTAGGGGCCACCTGACTGCGCGCTTGCAATAAGCGATGGGCACCCCAGATCAACGATAATGCAGCCACCACTTCCACGAGCAGCCGGGGCGAGCAGCCATCACCTGGAGGGGCCGCCGCCGCCGCCGTCTCGTGCGCATGCACGCTCCCCGCTGCCCACCGCTCCCCTCCCGTCGCTGCAGGCCAGGCCTACCCCGACAACACCCTGTGCTCCATTGGGCTGTGCAAGACGGGGGAGGCGGCGGCGACCGTGGACGACACCCACCGCGGCCCCGCCGGCGTGCTGGACATCCCGCAGCGCTTCCTAATGGGGCCCGGCCCCGCCAACGCCCACCCGCGCATCCTGGCCGCCCAGACCCTGCCCCTGCTGGGCCACATGTGAGGCGGTGCCAGGCACTCGCGCGTCCGCCCAGGGGACCACACTGCCTGCCTCCCGCCAACCCTGGCGCCTCTGCCCATGCTTGGCACGCCCCACCCGTCGAGCATGCAGGCGGGAAGCCTCGCAGCCACTGCCCACACCTCCCTCCCTCCCTCCCTCCCTCCTCTCCCGCCCATCCCTCTACCTCCTCCTCCCCCCCCACACAGGCACCCTCCATTCCTGTCCATCATGGACGAGATCCGACAGGGCCTGCGGTACCTGTTCCAGACCTCCTCCAACTACACGCTGCTGGCCAGCGGTACCGGCCACGCGGGCATGGAGATGGCGATCGCCAACCTGGTGGAGCCAGGGGACACGGTGGTGGTGGGCAACAAGGGCATCTGGGTGAGGCGGGCGTCGGCGGCGGCCGGCCGGCTGGCGGAGCACGGCTGGATGGGGCTGGATGGCGCTGGATGGGGCTGGCTGCCTGGCTGCGGCTGGCTGGTGCTTGGCTAGCGAGCGGGGCGGGGCGGGGCAGGCACCTGCGCGAGCCTGTGGGCGTCTCTCGAGCGCCGCCGCCGCCGCCTGCCCCCGCGCCGCGCAGGGTGCACGCGTGGCCGACATGGCCGAGCGCTTTGGCGCCAACGTGGTGGAGCTCAAGGTGGCGGCAGGCAAGACCTTCTCGCTGGCGGAGCTGACGGCGGCGGTGGAGCAGCACAAGCCCGCCCTGCTCTTCCTCACGCAGGGCGAGTCGTCCACCGGCGTGCGGCAGAGCCTGGCGGGGTGAGCGGCAGGGAAAGCGGGGGGGCGGCGGGGCCGGGCGCGCCGCCCCCGACAGGCAGGCAGGCTGGGAGGAGGCGCCCCAGGCAGCTCTCAACCGGCGCCGAGGCGGGCCTGCCGCTGGAGCATGCAGCCCCTGCCTGCCTGCCCTGCCCTGCCCTCCCACGCTCTCTCTCACACACACACATGCGTGCACATGCGCGCCACTCCCGCCCCGCCGCAGCGTGGGCGAGGTGTGCCGCAAGCACGGCGCGCTGCTTCTGGTTGACACGGTGGCCTCGCTGGGCGGCGTGCCGCTGCTTGCCGACGCCTGGGCCGTCGATGCCGTGTACACCGGTAGCCAGAAGTGCCTGTCGGCGCCGCCGGGGGCCGCGCCGCTCATGCTGAACGAGCGAGCGCTGCAGAAGGTCAAGAACCGCAAGACAAAGGTGAGCCGCCACGGCGGCGGCGCATGTGCTGCGGCCGGCTGCCGCGCTTTCGCGCTTGCGCATGCGCCTGCAACCCTGCCAGCCGGACCGGGTGGCTCCCGCCGCACGCCCCACACCCAGGGCCATGCGCCACCTGCCCTCCATGTTTGTCCTCTCATTCTGCCTGCCTCCCTGCGCTCAACAGGTCCGCTCCTACTACTTTGACCTCAACCTGGTGGGAGACTACTGGGTAGGTGGGGGAGCAGGGCAGGGGAGGGGAGCAGCAAGGCAGCGCTGCCGTGGCGGCTGCAGCACTGAACAGCAGCACGTGCTGGAGCTGCCTGCCGAGGGCTGGCACCTCCTAAGCTGCACCCGCCTCTGGCCTGCCCAGGCGGTGCAGGTGCCTTATGAACGTGCATGTGCTGGGCGCGCCTGCCTGCGTGCAGGGCTGGTTTGGCTCCCGCTCCTACCACCACACCGGCATGGTCAGCATGTGGTATGCCATGCGCGAGGCGCTGGCGGTGCTGTCTGAGGAGGGGCTGGAGGCCAGCTGGGCGCGGCACGAGGCGGCGCACCAGCAGGTGGGGCTGCCCCGCAGGGGTGCCAGCCAGGCGGGCGCTGCCTCGGTACAGCAGGCAGCAGGGAGCCGCTGCGGCAGATGGAGCATCCTGCCGGCACGCCCGGAAACGCTTGCCCCCCCTGCTCCCCATGTTGCCCCACCCTGCAGCTGTGGGCGGGGCTGAGGGAGCTGGGCCTGGAGCCATTTGTGGAGGACCCCAGGGACAGGCTGGCCACAGTGAACACAATCAAGGCAGGCAGCCAGCACACTCCTTGCGCCGCCGCTGGTGCAGCACACTCCTAAGTGCCTGCGCAGCACTCGGAGCGCCTGCGCTCTGCCATGCCAACCTGGCAGGGCGATTGCCTGCCCCCCGCCCGCCGCACCGGCCAGCATTCCCTCGCGTGCCCTCGCCCTCCCACGCCACCCGACCCCGTGCCGCTCCGCTGCAGGTGCCCGCGGGCGTGGACTGGGCCGCGCTGTGCAAGCACGCCATGGATGCGTACGGCGTGGAGGTGTCTGGCGGGCTGGGCCCCACCGCAGGCAAGGTGTGGCGCGTGGGCCTCATGGGCTACAACGCCAAGCCCGCCAACGTGGAGCTGGTGCTGGTGGCCTTCAGGACGGGCCTGGCCAAGCAGGGCTACAAACCCGCCGCCGCAGCCGCCGCCACCGCCTAGAGCGCCGCACGGGCCGTCGATCAGTCGCCTCCATTCAGCGATGCGTCATGCGAGCCACGCGAGCGCAGTCTAGTTTACTGACCGGATTGGTCCGGCCCTATTTATTCATTGGTCAGGGAAGGCTGTTCAAACTTTGAAAGAAGCGTGGTGGCGGCGGCTGGCCGGTCCGCCACCCTTGTAAGGGAGAGCGGTAACGAAACATCAGGGCAAATCAAAACTTGAATGAAATCGCTCATATCATCCTCTCAACGAGCTGTGTGCGCGGCCCTTCCCGCTCACTTGGGGCTGACAAACAGCTGGCGCACGCGCCCCGGCTTGTTCACTCCGGCGGCCACCACCACGCGGCGCTGCGACAGCACATCCAGCCCCAGCACCGCCGCGGGGCCATCGAACGGCTTGGTGCCGTCCCCCAGCAGCTGCGCAAACACCGGCAGGTCGCCCACGGCGGCCACCACGGGCTGCCAGGGCTGCCAGCCGGGTGGCGGCGCCTCGAAGCGGAACTTGCCGTCCTCCCTGGCCGCCGCGCCGGCAAAGGTGAACTGCACTGGCGTGGTGGGGGCCACCTGGGGCCGGCCATCCATCCCGATGATGGCCACCCCGCCCAGGCTGCCACCCGTGGCACCGGGGGCGGCGCCCGGCTGGGCCTTGGCGCCCGCCGACTTGTACACAGCATCGCCCTTGGGGGGCAGCCCCGCCAGCGCCGCCGCTTTCCAGTTGATGGCGGAGAAGGAGGCCCCGCAGTCGATGATGCCGATGAAGGGCTGGCCCGCCTTGGAGGCGGGCGAGGTGGCGCGGATGCCCAGGATGCCGGTTTCGTTCAGCACAGCGGCGGGCACCTCCACCAGGCCCGCCGCCGCTGCCGCCGCCGCGCCCTCGCCGGGGCGGAACAGGCGCAGGCGCTGCGCCGGGAAGTCGAAATCCACATCCCACAGCTCCAGCAGCTCCTGAGGCAACAAGGGTGGAGGAGGACCAAGGGGTTTGGACAGGCGTGCCTGTGCGGGCGCTGCGTGTGTGTGCGGTGCGTGGGGTGTCGGCTGGGCGGCACCGGTTTGTCAGGATGATACCCCCTGCTGCGCCCTCATCAGGCAGGCGCCAGCCCTGCCCACCATGCCCAGCATGCCCTCCACCGGGTGCTGCGGGTCGAGGTGCTCCTGCACAAAGTCAGTGACCACAGCGTTCAAAGCGGGCAGCGCCAGGTCCTCGGCGCCCACCAGGTGCGCATCTGCAGCCAGGCGCGGCGGGCGAGGCAGGCGGCAGGGCCACGCATGGCGATGGGAGGGAGGCGGGGAGGGCTGGACAGCAGCAGCGGCGGCACGTGCCTGAGTTACTCGGCACCAGGCCGCCCACCCCACACACTCAGCAAGCACGCCCCTGCCACGACCCCTAACCCCTCAGCCTCATGCCACCCGCCCACCCACCCAGCCCCCACCTGTCAGCGTCACCAGCGGCAGCTGCACCGAGCCCCCCGCGCCCACGTTCTGCTGCAGCACTCGGGTGGGCGGCGGGATGCCCAGCACCTCCCGCAGGTGCGGCGTGATCAGCTCTGCCGTCAGCCCTGTGTCGACCACAAAATCAAAGGGCCCCCTCCCGCCCAGCTTCAGCTGCAGCAGCACATAGTCGCGGCCCATGGTGCCCGCAGGCAGGCGCAGTCTGCAGGGCGGGAGGGATGGAAAGAGGGCGGGGCGCAGGGTGTAGGGCGCTGCAGGGCGCTGCGGCGAGTTGGCGGCTTGGAGGCGGGGGTTGCGCTGAGTGTGCTGTGCAGCCTGTGCATGCCTCTGCTCACCGCCTCATGGGCTGGTCCAGGACGGGGGTGGCCACAGCAGCCTGGGCGGCCTGCACCTTGGCAGGCATGTGCGGCAGGGCCAACAGCGGCGCCGACAGCAGCAGGCCGCGCCGGCTGGCCGACAGGGGGAGGGCGGGCGGCATGCCGCGGTGCTGCCATGATGGGCCGTGCAGCTGCGCCCTCAGGGGCTGAAAGGCCGGCATACTGGCACAGCCAGACCTGCAAGCGGCAAGTTTGCAGGGGACGGCAGCACTCAGGAGGGGCGCTGACCGGCGGGCCGGCGGGCGGCGGCGGAGAGCAAGTTGCTCAGGCAGGCACAACCCGCGACCCGACACCGGCTGGAGGACCTGGCACGCGTAACGGGGTGGGTGAGCAACTCGAAAGCTCAAGTGCTGGGACGCGATAGATCGGTCGCACGTTACAAAACAGACGCACCTCAGGTCAAGGCTTGTGCAAGCAGCAGCGGTGGTTCCTTGATGGTAGAGCTGCTGTCAGTGATGCATTAATACGGTGCTCGCGCGGCATCCTAATCATCCTGCTGCGGCTGCTGCGCCAGTGGGCGCCGGCACCGCCCAACGGCAGGACTGTTTGCACAACGCATGTTGCTACCGAAAGCCTGCTGCACTCAGTTTAGCCCATCAGCAACAGTACCTTGATCCAGAGGGTTTCAGTTTGCCGGGGTTGGCATTGGCGGAGGCTGAGAAAAACGCATTGGTCATCGGCGTGCCGGAGACCAGGGGGTAAAGATGAGGGCAGTATCAAACATGAGCGACCACTGCAGGAAGGGCGGGGGTTGAGTTCTGGGGAATTTTCTGAAAGGAGAAAAATGCCTGCCTGGAAAGGAAAGGAGCGAGGCGGTGGGCCAGGCAGCAGCAGGCCAGTACACGTGACACGGATCGATGGTGGGATCAGATCGGGTATGGAAACAGACGGACAGGAAAACAGGTGCGTGGGTGTCGGGTTGGCGACTCGTAACATACGTTTGTGGGAATTGGGGCATGCATGGGGCGCAGATCTAGAGGGGAAGGGCGCGCGCGCAGACAGCGTCACGAGGCGCTGCTCGGTCGATTGCCTCTAGAGCTGCCAACATCGTAAATCTTTCGCGGATGATCTTCTCTGCGGGCCGCGGCCCGCCTCACTTGGGTCCAGCCTGCGGCGGCGCCGGCGCCTGCCGCTGCTGCACCTGCTGTGCCGCCGCCGCCGCCGCGTACGCCTTCTTCTGCTCCTCCTGCTGCTCCTTCACCACCTGCTGCTGCCGGTGCTTCTCCTCCAGCAGCTGCCGGATCTCCTGCAGCTCCCGCACGCTGGCTGCGGCAGCAGGGAAGCACAGCGCGGCACAGCAGGGCGCCGCGGGGTGAAAGCCAGCCCTTCGGCCGCGGCAGTCCTTTGGGCGCGTCGCATTTGCCGCGCCTCCACGTGACCAGCCAGCACAGTCTCCTCTCCCCATCCCCTCCCTCGCCCCACCTGCTGCCGCCTTCTGGTCAATCACAACCGAGGTGTCTCCCTCGATGCGTCCCGGCTGCCCCCGTGCGATCTTGGCCTGCAGTCCCAGCCTGGACTGCATGCTGGCCTCCAGCAGTTCCGCCTCCGCCTCCAGCCCCTCCTCCCGCATCAGGCTGATGTAGCGCAGCAGGCGCTCCCGCTTGCGCCGCCGCGCGTCCTTGGAGTCAAAGGCGTAGGGCGCCGCCTCCTCCCGCAGCAGCGTCTGCCCGCCCTGGTTGATGACGTCGGCGGGGCCGGCGATGGCACGCATCTGGCGGGGCGTGACGGGCTGGAGGCGGGGCAGGCGGGGGGGTGGTAACAGGCGGATGAGGAGGTGGGAGCAGGCGAAGCGGTGCGGTGGCGTGCATGCCCGCCCTGCTAAAGATGCCGGCTCTTTCGAGCGCCAGGCCGGCCCAGCTGCAGCAGCCCGGCCGCCGGGCCCTCGAGCGGCGCGCCGGCCGCGCATGGGCGTGGGTCGGGCGCACGCTGGCGGGGCCAGGTGGGGGTGAGCGCTCACCGGCATGGCCGACAGGTCCAGGTGCGTCTTCTCACCGCCCACCACCACATACACGCTGGTGGGCGCCACAAACTCCAGGTTGGGCGAGTCGTCCTCAAAGTTGTTGGACCAGTTGTGGATCTGCACCCCCGTGATGACTGCGGGCGGGGAGGGGAGGGAGGGAGGGAGGGGCGGTGATTGT